AGAAACTTGTACCATGCCTGGTTCATGCCCCGCTCCTCTGCACAGGACCTGTGCTCCCATTCTGGGACTGACGCATCCTTCACCAGTCCCAAGGGATCGGTGACAGGAAGCCATGTGTCCATGGGAAAGATGTCACGATAGGGGCTGATTTTGCAAAGGATTAGGTGCCAGCTGCAAGTAGCCAAAGGTGAGACTTGTGAGGGACAGGGAGGCACGGGATTCAAACACCCTCCAGGGCCCATGATCTGCAACCCTGTAAGAAACGTGGCTGGCCAAAGAGGCTGAGCGGATGCCCCACAGAGCAGGAGGAAGGTCTTCAGAAGGCAGGACGATGTGCATGAGGACATTGGATGGACAAAAAGCAGAACTGTCCCATAGCACATCTGTCCCTTTGTCTTGGCCTGGCTGTCCCTGCTGGCCACGGCTGTAGAAATGACGCTTAACTTGGAGATGAAGCTGTAGGGTTTGCACAGCTGGGGTCCAGGCGCCTGGCAGGTGAACAAAGTGTGGGATCCCCCCACCCCCGGCTCTGCACGGAGGGTGCCTTTTTTTTTTTCTTTAATTCTTTCCTTTAAAAATAAATGTAGCTCACAGACTACAGAGGAAGGAGACAACATAAAAATTTATATGGAAAAAAACCTTCATCCCTCAGAGCCAGTGCTCATAAAACCAGATCCAGTTTAAGGGGCCGACGGTAGCTCTGGGGTTTCTCACAGCTGTCCTTCACAGATTTTCACATCACTTTACAGCCGGGTTTTCTGACCCTGGAGGGAGGACAAGTCAAGTCAGAGCGTCCTCCTGGGCCTTCTATTGCCACTCACTCTTCCTCCTGAAAATCAAATTCTCTTATTTTCATTTTTTGAGTCAATTCTGTCTCACCATTGCCTCCAAAGAACTTTTTTTTTTTTTTTTTTTTGGTACCAGGGATTGAACCCAGAAACACTCAACCACTGAACCACGTTCCCAGCCCTTTTTTTATATCTTAGTTAGAGAAAGGATCTTGCTGAATTGCCTAGAGCCTCTCTAAGTTGCTGAGGCTGGCTTTGAACTTGCGATCCTCCTGCCTCAGCCTCCCTGGCTCCATAAAGGTTCTAAGTCTAAGGGATTTTTTTAAAATTATTTTTTAGTTATAGGTGAACACAATGTCTTTATTTCACTCTATGTGGAGCTGAGGGTCGAACCCAGTGCCTCACGCATGCTAGGCGAGCGCTCCACCTCTGAGCCACAACCCCAGCCCTAAGTCTAAGGGATTTTGCCCCAGTGATTTTACTTCAAGTTGTTCTTCAGAAAAGGGGATGAGAGGGTGTCTTTAGTCAAATAAATTTAGAAAATACTTTGTTTGAGCACTCCCAGGAAAGCTGCGTGTTTTTGCGTGTTATGACGATGAAAAGTCTTGCCAGGGTCCAGCTTTTCTCAAACGTAATTGACTTTTATGTCCTTCATGTGAGACGAGCTGCAAAGGCAGCATTCCATGAAGCACCGCTGACAAACCCTGCACCAACGCCTCTCCCCAGCGCTGAGCCACAGGATACTGGTCTTGTTAGATTCGGCCCCACCCAGCCAGCCTATCAAGGTCTTCTGGGAACTTGACCTTGGAATGCCTTTTGCTTGGGACTTATCTCTCTAGCCACACACATCAGTGGGGAAAGGGTAGCCACAGGCAAAGCCAAACACAGCCCTGGACCTGCGGGTTCAGCCCGGAGTGCAGCAGCTCCTGTAGGCCAGAGTGGGCTAGCTCCTCCCTGTACACAGAGCCCCGAGGGGTGCAGGGTCTTGGGGTCTGGGGTGCCAGGGAAGAGTTTTCTGCGGTTTCCAGGGAGATGCACTCTATTGAAGTTGTTTTTTCATTGCATGACCCAAAGTGAAGGCGATTGCCGGGCAGTTGAATTATTACCTGACGCCTGCAGCAGCTGCTGCTGAGGAGGGAGAGGAGTTGGGAGTCGGGGGTCATTAACACTCACTTCTTAAATTAACAAATCCTTATAGCACAGGTTAAAAATAGCAACCTCATGGTTTCTAAAATTAGCCCTCACCTCTTTCCATAAATATGCAGACCTCCAGTGAACTGGGGCTCCACTTGCCCAGCCTAATGGGGTCAGACAGGCTTAGGTTTCCTGCCACATTCTTTAGGATCGGCATACTTGGTAATTGACCTTGACAAGTGAGAGGCCACAGAATGTCCTGGACCCAGGACAGCCTGTGGGGCCATCAGCCTGAAAGTGGCTCTGGGCAGGCCTGGGAGAGATCTCAGGGTCCTTTTGGAGACATCTGCAGCCCCTGGGCCTGTTTGCTTAGGAAATCCCCCACCTGGGCGACCTCTCCATCCCCAGCAAAATGGGATGGTGGGTCACCCTGGCCACATAAACCACGGCAAAAGGACCAAGGTCACGGTTCTGGGACAATCTGGGGAGGGGATTCAGCGGCCCGGAGTCCACTCCTCAGCCGCTGACTGGGGGCCTACATAATCGAGGAAGGTAGCGTTTAGAGGAGGAAGGAAATCAAGGGCCAGCCAGGTCGGCCATGGGACGCTCCTCCCCTGCACCGCCCCAGTTTCCTCAGTGCAAGAGGGTTGGCAGCATGGCGCCTCAGGACATGGGGGACTGCCAGGCATGTGCCAGCCGCGTCCCTGTTACCCACCAGGTGCCCGTGCTCTCCATCAGAGGGTCAGACAAAACACACCGGAACAGGAACAAGACTTAGTTCTATGCTCAAGCCCCGAGTGTAAGGAAAGGACCGTATGAAGGAAATGAGGAGGGGAGAGGAAGCTCCGCAGCAGCCCAGGTTCACTCTGGCCAAAGCTGCAGAGGTGGACCCGGCGGAGACTGGACCGTCTCCCACTCACAGCCTGGGGTAGTTGTAGGGGCAAGAGGAAGGGGGAATTGTTGCAGTTAGGCCATTGCTAGGGGGTTGTCAGGTCAGGGAAGGGTCCTTCTGGCCGTCACCTCCATTCTTTGGGGTGGTCACTGTTCTAGGCGGAACTGGTGGGGTTATTTCAAGTTGGCAGGATGATGGGGTATTGTCGGGGTTTGAGGCCGGCTGAGTCAGAGCGACCTTGGGGTGATCTTGTCTAAGATGGAGGATGTTTCAAAATGGCACTGCCAGTGTCCAGTTCTTCCAACACCAAGGACACCCAGGTGACTTACATAGAGACAAAGGATGCAGCTTTTATGCCCTCCACAGGGCGGGCAGGGACCACCGTGTCATTAGGGGTGGGTTTGCGTTGCGCCTGTGCTCTTCATTGTGTCGGGGTGACTTTACTGCGCTGATGGAGTAAAGGTAACCAGGTTACCTCAGGCAGGACTCTGCACTTGCGTTTGCCCCTCTTCACCTGGCATCTCTGCCCCTGATGCTCTGGGACCGTCCCTGGTGTCTGTCCTGTCTCAGTGGGTTTGATCCTCGCATCTGGCTCTGGCCTCTCCGAATCTCCGCTGACCCCAGAGTCTCCGAAGCCTGCCCGACTGCCCGGCTCCGTCTCCAGGGGCCTTTTTAGCTCCACAGCCTTGAGGGCTGGTCTGCTGGGCAGCACCCCTTGTTCTGGAAAGTCTGACCGAGCAAGGCTCAGCGTCTCAACCCAGGGCCTCCGGCCGATGAGCTGGCGGTTGGTGGTGTAGCTGCGCTCGGGTGTGGGGCAGACCCCCAGCAGCAGCTCTGACCAGGTGGCCACGTGGGCATTGCTTGGGCCCCACTTCCTCCACAGTAGTGACCACAGGACAGCTGGGACTGGAATGGTGTCCCCAGCCCCTGGACAGGGTGTGTCTATCTGCTAAGTGGAGGGATGACAGAACTTCATGCAGGACCTAAGAAAGGCCAGCTGGGGACAAGGTGGGGAACCTCCTCACACCTCCTTCCCTGGACGACTCCTTCCCTCCCTGGTTCCTCCCTCCCTCCCC